ACAAATCGAAGGCCGCCCACACAAACCAACACCATCATCGTGTAGGTAGAAGTTTCCCCTATCCGATGATGGTGTTGGTTTACGTGGGTGGCCTTCGCTTTGTGACTAAAGGGCTTTGGAACGGTTTGTTCACAAATGCTGATGGGCCCTTTTATATTGTTGATCCAGAACTTTCCATATCATCACCCACTCGGTAATTTTGGTTGGTGATTTGCTTGAGCAGCATCACTTTCTGCCCCAGAGACGTTTTGCTATGGTGCAGCTTGAGTGCATCCCACGTCTCTTTCGCTGTTGCTTTGTCGCGGATCAAATTCAGGGTGACCAGATTATTTTTTTCACTATCGGTAGGTTCTCAAAACTTTTATCCGTAGTTATCGGTAGGCCGAAGGCTTTCCCGAAACTGGAAACCTTTGTGAGCGGAGGAGGGGGGGGGGGGGTTCGATGAAAACAAATCACGTGCGATTTCGGACTATCGGTAATGTATTGGTAATGTTCCTTCCACCTTTTGACGATATTTCACGTTGTTTACAATTTTGTGATGTTCAGTTGCGTTCAGTTTGTTGGTACAAATCATTTCCATCGGTGTACATAAACATTTTGACCACAAAATGCACGAATATTGTAATTTAATCGGTTTTCTGAGGTGTGGCCAAAATAGGAATCTTACGACTAATATTGCTGTACTTCCTCTGTACACAGAAAAAAAAAATTGTTGAATATTACATCCAAACTGGTTGTGTAATATAACGTTGTACGGTGTACATCGATTTTGCGAACAAAATAACATCCATTGATGTAATATTGTATCTGCTTTTTGCTATTACATCATTATTTCATACATCAGCTTGAATTACATTGATAGATATTACATTTTTTGTTGCTGTGTACGATTTCCTAGGTGTCCGAAATTCTATTAGCCATCGGTTCAATGATATGAGAAATTCGTACTCCTCAAAAATATGCGAATATTAACAATAAAAAGTAGGCGAGAGTAGGACGAATGGAACACGAAAACAAAAAGGGAGAAATAGAAAATAGCATCAGACAGAGAAAGTCGATTAAGGGTTTAAAAAAACTTATTCGTACACGGTAAGAAAAATGTACCCAAGAGCCAGTTCACTTTCTCCTTCTACACAGGAGCAGTAAATCGTGGGAAGCCAACGTTGAGTTTAATCATATTTACCTTCTTTTGGGTACAACTAACTTACTTTTGGGTAGAAAGTGGTAAATTCCATACGAATTCCACACAAGTAAATAAAAACTACATTGACCCGCAAAAAGGTTATCTTCCATTTAATTTCACTTAATTAATTTTGACATCCATGATAGATACGTATTTCGACTATAATGTGCAGTCTTCATCAGTATCATTTCCCACTAAAGTCTTATCAAAAACCTAACCCCCTTAAGTACATTGCAGTAGAAATACGTACATTCCGTTAACAACCCAATTTCATTACTTCATTACTTTGACCCGCTTTACCTACTTTTTGATTCCTGCACCATAGCGTTAGCGTTAGCGTTAGCGTTGTTATGATATACTTTGTAAATTGGATACTAGCGACACTCACGTCTCTTCTGAAATTCTCAGTTAGACTACTTTCAGGAATAATGCTGGGGAGTAAACATTGGTTCCAATCTAAACAAGAGTAACAGAAGCATGACTGCCGCTATTCCCGGCCACGCCCATCTTTACCATAACTAGGAATAGGGAAGGAAATGTTGATGTAGTACTTACTTAACGAGAGGCCACCGACTTAGCGACACCCTCATAAGTGCTACGGAGTTGGAGGGTTGGGTAGGGTATTCGGTTAGGATTCACCTCAAGTTGGTGATGCAACCAAAAGTATGTATTGTTTATTTGTTGTTTATTTAATCTCTCGATAGCCGGCTATCGAAAGAACATATTAATTTTGTTTAGTGATAATGAATTTTAAGAGTCATGACGGAGAGCTTGGGATTAAACCCATGATTTTCTGCTCAGTAAGCAAAAACGATCCCTCCAGGGTCATCGAGCATCTCAGAACCATAACACTTCTTGACAATACAGGACTACGTTTTCGCTTGATATGCAAATAGTTTCCGAGGCTAATGTTTAATATCAAATATACAAATGATGGTGGCGATTTATTGTGCTGTGGAAGAGCTTGGAGTTAAGTCCATGATTTTCTGCTCAGTAAGCAAAATCGATCCCTCCAGGGTCATCAAGCATCTCATAATCCACAGCGCTTCGCGTCAAAGTACGAATATATGGATGAACTATCTATTATTGAATAACTATTATTTACGATAATTACATGAAAGAAATAGCTTGAGCTTGAGCTTGAGCTTGATTGACCGCCCACGGTTGCTACTCTGTTACTGCCAGATCAGCTGTAATTACACAGAGAACCAATAGACGATGCTTGGGACTAGCAATCATCCTCAATGTGTAAAAACTGGTGATCTTAAATTAGGCAATACCAGCGCCGGCCGCGCCCGAACACAGGTCAAGAAAGGAATGGGAAGGATTGTGTTGACATGACACTCGCTTTGATGGAAGCAGAGAACACCTCTGCACTTCCACGAGGAATCACTGGGATGTTGGATAAGAGGGTTGGGTTTGCAGCAGGGTTCGTTTTGGTAAAACGATAAGCTGAATTGATGTCCTAACGATCATGTAACGCGAATGAGCTTGGGACTAAACCCACGGTCTTCTGCTCAGTAAGCAAAACCGTTTGCCACTAGGCAGACGAGCACCTTTTTAATCACCGAGTTGCTGTTATTACCATGTAGTCATATTAACAAATAAAACGATTGACGAATCTTGAATGTGGATGGGCCTGAGATTAGTCTCATTATGTTCTGCTCAGTAAGCAAAAACGGTTGCTCTAAGGCCACCGAGCCCCTCATATCACATAATACCGTTGCTCAAATTTGTGTATCCATTCAAACCCGGAACCAACGACAACAACGAGTGTCGCAAAATACACGATACACAAGCGATTTTACCATAAATCTCTTTGATATGTAAGGACCTGGGACCGCGTTTTTCTGCTCAGTAAGCAGGCCACTGTAACCGACGATCTTTCAAATCCGAAAACTAAAAACTACGAAAAAGTACTTAGGCCTTCATTAAGTTCCCCTTTCACGCGACGTTCAATGACAGGGTCCTATCCAGGATTACATCTGAAAAATCCAAATCTGGCCAACGCTCACCCTAAACCTAAACCTGTTCTAATCCACTTGAAATGACTAACGAATGGAAGACTTTGACTACCCAGCCATGCAATAGTCTCATTTCGTGCCTTATGGCAACTTGATGATTCTATTGCGCTCATCTTTTGGCACCACCCAGGGGAGACTTGGTCCTGTACCCAATGCTTAACTTATCTCCATTCCACTCAGCTACTCGCAATTTCTTGTGATATAGTGGGCGGAATATTATTATATGAGACAATTCAATGCAGACGTCTTTCCAAATTTGGCAGATCGACAGGTAATCGGTGAGTTACCACGATAGTTGCTATTCAAAAACTCGACAACGTCCCATCGTCAACGCCTACTATGAGAATTTCCCATTGCAGACGCCAACGAAATGACGTCATCGAGCTATCGATCAACTACCCTGGTTATCACCTGGTACCTTATAGCACGATGCTAGGAGGCGAACCGGAAGAATCGATGAGCTACCTCTCCCCCACTTTTTGATTCCTGCACCATAGTGCCAAGAAGTGTGGAAAGAACTTACTTTTGGGTGATTTTTTTTTTCTTACCGTTGGATTGGAGTTGCAAACACATCGCGTTCGATCAAAATGACTGACTACACGGAAAACAAAACATGGGTTTTGAACATTTTTCCAGATTACTAAGGTTGTGCTCCAATGGTGAATTTTCACCTAAATTTTACAGATGTAAAAATTTCAAATAAACCTGCTATTTCAGTAGACCTATCTCTGACTGATCAGGAATCAATCTTGACAAACACCTTCTCAAAAATCAGACGGTCAACAATAGAGGGGTTTTCGAACACTGTAATTTATTTTCGAAGTGAAGCTTAAGTGAAAATTCACCAAATCGAACACAGACTTAAAATCTGTGGTTATCGGTAGGAAAAGTGAAAAATCGGTAATTTTGAACTTTTCGTCTGTGAATCGGTAGGCATTTTAAAAATCGGTAGGTCTGGTCACCCTGATAAAATTGTACTGACTCTCGTCCACCAGCAGCTGAATGGTGGCGAGCGTCTTTTCGTCGCCCTCTCTCCATGCACCGGTCACTGGATTCGGTGCGACTCCCGGTTCGACGTATTTCCACAGCTGCTCTCGCCGGAGCAGCGCCGTGACGGAGAAGGACCACGCCGGGTAATTGGAGTTATTCAGCTTGACAACTCTTGCCCACTCCATTCTGCGAGAAAGCTCTGGAAAACACTACCGTTTTCTCATTCACGACTTTCGCGGAAAATAATAATCCGACTCGAACTAAAGCAACCGAAAAACGATCCCGAACACTTCCCGCTAACGATCCATAACGAAACCAACTGGGCCCATAATCTGTTGGAGTGGCCGCAATCGCAATGGAAAAACAACTCGGATCGGGAAGTAATGAAACACGTGTGTACTGAACGTAAATAACAAAAGGAATGACAGTTTTATTCAGCGGAAGTAATACAGATTAGAGTGCCTGTATTAGTAGAGTGACGACATGTCATCCCAGTGAAAATAAAATATTTGGCATCCCTGAAGTTTTGAGCTGACAACACTGAAAGTGTTTGGGCTTTCACGTGACTTTTCGCAAAGCTAAGAGTTTTGTTGATATTCTGTTGTTTCAAAACACACGCGTTTTCTGTTTGGTTCGTTGTTGCTACTGAATTTGTTCGAAATGAAGTGCTGCGCTAAATTCTGTACAAACAAAACGACAGCGGGGTTCAAGAACATCGGATTCTTTCGTTTTTCGGTGGACGATGATGTGTGTGCTGCTTGGAAGAGATTTTGTAATCTGCCGGATGATTACGAAATCACGGCATGCTCTCGATTGTGCAGCGTACGTAAAACAACAGCAGCAAACCAAAGTGTCAGTAATATTTTTTTTTAATTTAGTTTCATTTTATGCCAGACGATATATATTTTGCTTCCAACAAGGGGAAAATTATGCGACGACGGACGGCAGTTCCAGTGTATGAGTTCGTACCACAGATTGTAGATTTGCACGCCGAGGACGATTCGGACCATGAAAACCAAGCAAGAAATCCTTTTTCAACCGTGGAACCTAATCTAGAATCCGGAATGTCAGTCAGATGTTCTCCTTACGATGAACACCAAGCTGTGTGTGCGAAGACGAAAAGAACATATGAGAGGTAAGAATGTCTTTGTATGTTATTTTCAATTTTATATTGATAAATAATTGTCGTTTTAGTCGCGTCAATGTTCTAAGCCATCAAGTTTCGGACTTAAAGAAGCACTGCAAGGGTCTCGAAAGCGTTATCAAGCGACAGGAACATGTGATTGATAAGCAGAAGACAACTTCTGATCTCGCACTCGATGCACTGAATCGAACGTTCAATTCCGACCAAGTAGATATGTTGCTGTATATGAAAATGCATCCGAAGCAGTGGAGTGACAAAACAATTACAGAGAGCCTGAAGACCAAATTTGTTTGTGGCACGAGAGGATACGAGCATCAGCGGAATAAATATCCGATTCCTTCAGAACGAACTCTCCAGCGAAGGATGGAGGACTTGGACTTCAGTACTGGAATACTAGATGATGTTCTAGAGCTTTTGCAGCTTAAACTGAATACAATGAACTCTGACGATCTTGACTGTGGGCTAGTATTTGATGAAATGTCCATCGAAGAAGCAAAGAGCTTTTGTATTGCGGACAGCATGTTCTATGGCGATGTTACTATTCCAGGTCAGAACGGAATCGCTAGCAATGGTCTCGTTTTCATGTTGGTAGGGATCAGAAGCAGATGGAAGCAAACTGTCGGCTATCATTTTACGGGTAATAGTATTCCGGAACATGAGCTGAAGGGAATAGCATTCGAAATTATCTGTAAAGTAGAATCATTCGGCTGTAGAGTTCACTTTCTAACTTCGGATTGTGGTCCGAATAATAAAAAATTGTGGAATAGCTTAAATCTCAAGTTCCATAAGAATGATGTTATGGAAAGTGATGCCATCGAGCATCCAATGGATCCGCTGAGGAAATTGGAAGTTATGCCGGACGTCGTCCATGTTTTCAAGTCAGCAGTACAAGGATGGCTGAAGAACGAAGTGTTGTGGCTTCCACTTGATATCGTTGAATCGAACGGATTCTGTACAAACCAGATCAACATCCAGCATCTGACGGACCTGGTTTATTATGGACATCAGAATGCACTCAAAGTTGCACATAACCTGAAGCTAGCAGACGTTGAATTTAAAAAAGAAAAAGAGCAACTTTGATGCCATGAAAGTGATGAACTCCGAAAAATATGTCAACCGAAACGTATCTGCAGCTCTTCGATTTTACAGTTACGTTGCAAACCGTCCTGAAATTTTACCAACGGCGTTTTTCATTGAAGCTTGTTCTAAATGGTTTCAGTTGTCGAAAAACAGGTCAATGGAAATGGCATTGTGTAAAAGTAAGTAGATAATAGGATTCCACTGTATTGCATACATTTCGATATAGATGAAGTTTACTTTTATTTCAGAAAACTTGCAAATTTACCAAGTGACGCTGCAATTCTACGATTTCTTCAAAAAACTTATCTTTGAATTGGATGTGGGGTATACAAGGAATTGGAAACCATGGCAGGCGTCAATTATTCTTGCCACAAACTCGATACTTCGGCTGCAAGATCTTTTTTTGAATGAAAAGGGCTACAGCTATTTGCTAACTTCGCGCTTCACGCAGGACTGCGTGGAAAATCTTTTTTCGCAGATCAGAATAAGACAGAAAAAACCCACAGCCTTGCAATTTAAAAACCTTCTAAAATCCGTAACCATTTCACAGTTCCTTTCTGATGTCTCTGGATCGTCTTATGGCTCAGATGAAAGAGAGTGGCTCATAGATTTCCCTTCACATATGAGACAGTTGAGCCAAAACAAAGCTAAAGAAAAGGAAAAGATTGTACCGCTAAGAAACAACTTAACTACGATTGGAACACAGGCTGCTTTGGATAGAATGAACGATGCGGAAAAGAACGTAGTATTTCACATTGCTGGTATGATCGTACATAAAGTTGCAAAACATGGTGCGGTATGTCAACAGTGCATTGAAAAGTGCATAGCAACATCGTCCGATTGTCATTACAACAAATTCACAGTTTCGAAGGATTTTACTGGTCAGGCATTGGTATACGTCAATAATGAGACTTTCATATTTTTCTTGAAATTAGAGATCGTTTTTAGAAATGAGATCAACCATTGCAGAAATGATCAAGTATTTGATACAATTGAACATCAACTGTTGAATATTCCGGCTGAACACCTGATTCTATGCCACGATCTGAAACGAAAACTGATTAGAAGATTTTTGCATTTTCGTCTTAAGATACATCATCCTAAAAAGGTTCATCAAAATAGACTAGATAGTCGATCAATGGCTGTGTAATAAAGAAAGGTCAGGGGATTATTTGTGATGATAAACTTCATACATGTTAAACTTCAAAAAGAGAACAAACAATATACTTTTATTATTCAACACGATTCAACCATTGTTAGTTTATTTCGGACCTCATAACGTTATTAAACTGAGGTTTCAAAGGAAATCGTTTAAATTCTGTTGTTTTAGTTACGGCTGCATAGTTTTATTTTTGAAACTACACATTAAGGAACATGGTGCCATAATAGATACACTTACCCTAGATACGAAACATCTTTTTCATAAAACTGCTGCAAAGCGATACACTTAATTCTGTATCCAATGAAATATTCGAGTCATCGAGACGAACGACGTGTTTCAAATCCATTCAAGATCGAATCCAAGAGCTGCTTTTCGCTCCATAGTAGGTACGCCGTAATTTCTCGCTCCGAATCAGTGACCATGGCTTCATCCGAATCGTTGGCGACCTGAACTTCGATCAGTTTTTTCATATTAGCAATCTCCACTTTGTAAGAATCCTTGTGTTTGAGCCGCTTCTGTTTCTCCGAGTTGGCTCGATGGATCTAATTCTCTATGCAGGCCGGTAGTGTCTCGTACGAGTCGCACCATTCTTCCAGGAAGTTATCCAGCTCGCTCACATTACTCAGCCGGATGTCCTGACGGATGGCATATTCCACTTCCAGCTATTTTTTCTTCTGAACTGCTTCTACTTACCGTGATTGATGTCGACATAAATTTCATAAATGTCTAATCCCAAGGTCTAATCCATTTCCTGTAGAATTGTGTTTTGTTTTCATAAAGAAAAATATATAATTAAATCAACACTTCTATAATACATACTTACTGCGATTGAGTGAAAAGCTAAATATTTTTCCCGAAAAAAATAAATGTTTCGCTGACAACTACAATACTTTGTTGTCAACATCTTTTTTTCCAAACGCGTTTGAAAGGTCGCTTGCTCGATTGGAATGACACTGACAGATAATCGGCCGTTCCAATTTTGACATGTCGTCACTCTACTAATACAGGCACTCTAATACAGATGATAACAAACATAAGTATCATGGTTTCTCACTAGTTGATGAAGTTGTCGCCGCTTGGGGGGGCTCAACAACATTGAGTAAATTAAAGATGATGTTCTTGTCAATTTCGTCAGTTTATTGCGTTCCTTGTAACCGAATGAAATAAATCTAGCGAGATCTAATTACACCAACATATGACCTATATTCGAGCATGTAGGAAGAGAATCATTTGTGCGCTGTGCAAGAGCAGCCACACATAAACATTAAGGGAAAGGTTCGTTTTCTTCGGCGAGCTCCTTCCTGAAAAGACATGCATTCAACAACATGTATGCATTTTGAAATGCACCCACACCCAATCCATTAGTAGTTCCCTTTTTGAGAGAAACATTCGCCCCAAAGAAGAACCTTCTACTCTCTACTCACAACTAGGTTCAAGACTTTCAACCTTCTTAGAACGAGCCACATATTATGAGTTCTTAGATACACCGTAGTAAGTAACAGCAGTCGTATGCGCTGCACTACGTTCTCAGGATCAAATTTACTTAAAAGCATTTACACAACTCCTGTACGGATGGAACCATCTCGCCTCGCTAGAGTACAGAACAAAATTGAAACGATGATGTTAGCATAGGATTACATTCCACACTCTTATGTTCGGTACGGTGGGGGTAACTCTCTCCCCCAGGTCAGGTGGTTTCCCAAGAGCCAACGGAATCTAGTTTGACAATTTCCATACTAATGAGATTGTTTCATTAGGGCAGCATAATTAACAACCATCAAACGGAGTCCACTCAAGCCTGTTTGCCGCTCAAGTGAGTTGAGTCGCCGGAAGGGAAGCAACTGTTCTTCGTAAAACTAATTCATCACTGATTCAGTGTGCTTGTGTTTGATTGTTGTGATTCATATTGCCTCAAGTCGTGTTCGATAATTTTCGATCTAATCAGCATCTTTTATCCTCTTTTGCAGGTACAGCCAAAAGTCAATGTCAAACGTGCTTGAAACCGCGTTTTCTGCAAGCTACCATTTATCCTGCAAGTATCAAGAAGAATGATCTCCAATGACAATAGGAAAACTCAACCGTAAATAAGAGAAGAGGAAAAATTTTGGCATAAAAAGCTATCCCCGAACGTGTTTTGACCATTGACATAGACACCAACACCATCACAGTGGAAAAGTATCAGTTGAATGCAAAATACAAAGCGACCCCGAATGGTATTGTGCTTCCTACTGAAAATCAGAGTGAAATTTCTCGCTGGCATCACTGTTCTTCCTAACGGTGCTGGCGCCACTGTGTAACGGAATGGAATTTAGCCGGCTGACAATGGAAAGACAATGTACCGGAAAATTCGAGTGCGAACGTGCCTCTATCCTCAGAGGAACCTCACTTTATCTGGGGGAGTAAATTTTATAATCGTCCGTTTTGCTCCTGTATTCTCGGGGAAGGATATATATGTATATGGATGTCGGTGTTATAGGCATGCATTAAAATAGATAACGGAATTTTATTTCTGCTCAAGTAACTGTAAGCAATGCTTTTAGCAAGCAGTTGAAGGACAGTTTGCTTTATGATAAGTTTAAAAAATGAAAACCTAGCATTTTTGGATGCCACATTTCAGACTACACTCAATTTGGTTTGTGCGCGATTTTCATGGCTTCATTCAGGATGTGTGTAGCATTTTTAATGCCGTCATATTCTTTTTTGATTTTTTTTAACTAGGCTGCATTAAATGTGGATGCAATTTGAGATCGGACGATCAAAAATAGAGGCGAAAAAAATCGCGTAAATCGCAATTGATTGTACTACGTAAAATGGCTCGAGAATGCAATGATGGCATTTCTTAGCAATCTGAAATGATGCATGATAAAAAAAAAAGTAGAAGGATCTGTGCCTAGGGGCACAAACGGAAGCTTGACGTAGGACCGCTAGTGGACGGAATAAATGTGAAGAGCATTAAGTTCTTTTAATTGATCAAATCAGGCATAACATTTGATAACGGCACAAAAGCATTTGTAAACAAACATTCTAAGGCCCTTTACACGCGAACTAAAGTACGCCCACGCAAACCAATACCACTTACGGAAAGGTGATAGTTGCCCCTATGCGATGATGTTGTTGGTTTGCGTGGGCGTGCTTTGGTTCGCGTGTAAAGGGCCTAAGAAGGTTTGTTTACAAATGCTTTTGTGCCGTTATCAAATGTTATGCCTGAAATATCTATTATCTCAACTCTTTCCGGTTTTGAACTGTAGGCGATCCAAATTTGTAGTAATCTTTTTCAAAAAGAAAGTTGATTACGAGAATCAATCAGGGTGGCCAGTGAATTTTTATTTTGAAAATCCCGGTTTTTTCCCGGTTTTCCCGGTTCAAATCTTAAAAATTCCCGGTTGTTAATATGCAACAAAAAAAAAACAAAATTTACTGATAGGATTAAAAAAATGTGATATAAGAAGATTCCCAAGATTCTGGAGCTTTGATTTATAATTTGTGTAGAGTCTGAAACTAGAACTTTTCTTCAAAATTTGTGATTAATAACATACTTCGTGATGCAAGATATTGGAGAAACAATAATTAAAATGTGAAATTTTGAATTTTTTTCAAGATCACAGATTTATAAAAAAAAAAACATCATACTTATGAGTCGTGGAGTCATAATTGTCACGCTCTGAGACTTGGAAGCATTTTAAGGGTAATAACAAATTACATAGCAATCTGTAGAATCTGGCGGACAAACCCTGGAATTTTTAGTAAAATTAAAAAGAATTCAAAGTGTTGATTAAAAACAAATATTGAGAAGGATTCCCACACAGTTTTCGAAGGAGAAGAGCAGATTTCCAGAATTATTCTTACATGAAATCCATAGAAATTGTTAGATGAATTTGGAAAGATTTCTTTGGAGAAGAATGCAAGTTCTAAATTAAACTGTTAGGTAATTTTAGTAGTTTTAAAAAAGAATTGTGAAAATAAAAATAAAACATTGCAGAAAATTCCTACGTGGTTCTGATGAGATTTGTATGGGCATCGTGAGGAACATGACAGATGAATTTTAAGAAGAATTCCAAGAGAATTATGATCGGAATTCAACAAGACACAGAGTTCTTAAAATGTTCTGGCAATAATTTCAACCCTAGTGCGAATGATTCATCACATAACCCAAACAAAATTGATTCCAAAAAATTTGCTGATAATCAGAAAGAAATTCTTTAAAATACTCCAAGGGGTTTATAAATTAATTTTCGAAAGATTTCTTTTGTTTTGAAAAGAGTTAAAAGAAATGTTTGAAAAGATTTTTAAAGGAATCAAAGTCTCCGGATAGGCGGAACGGGAATTATATGAAGGATTCCAATAAATTCTTAGAAGGGGTTGGAAGAAAATTCCTAAAAGAATTCAACGGTAATTATTACGCGGAGTGTTTTCTGGTTTATTTCAGAACAATTTCAAGATAATTCAGAGCAGAATTCCAAGTTAATTCTAGAATTCATCATGAGAATTTAGAACAACAAAAAATTAAAACCCCGGAAAAGAATAATTCAGTTTCGGTTTTTACAAATATTTGTTTCCTAACTCCAGCATCTTCAATATTTTCTTTAGAGGACCATGCACTTTACATCTGAAATTGAAACGACAAAAATCAATTTGCAATAGTGCTGAGTGATTAAATTCTAAAAACAATAAGACGGTATACTGAAGAAAATTATGCAACAAATAGAGCAAGACATTCATTTGCAAAGGATCACTCTGTTTTAATGGTTTATTCTGAAATTCTGATGTAAAAATTTGTTCCTATGATATGGTTAATTTATTTTCCGGTTCTCTTGCAGAATTCACGGGTTTTTCCCGGTGTTCCCGGTTACTTTCCAAATTCCCGGATATTTCCCGGTATTCCCGGTTTGCTGGCCACCCTGAATCAATCAAAATCACTTGCACCCCTGCTTCCAAGTTTGTGTGGTCGTTGGGGGCTTGTGGTTCTGAATATGGACAAACAAGCATAG